ACCAGCCATGAAATAATGTCACTAAATAAAAAATGGGGTGGCAGAAGAGGTACCCTGCAGCCCCAAAAGGAAACACTCCAGGCAACAATAAACAGACTGGTTCATAAAACAGAAAAGGCCTCCCCCCACCCTTTTCCAGCTATGTTTCAAAACAAACACTTTGAAATAGTTAATTCTATTTTTTTTATAACTGAAACACGTCACACAGATAATTTCTGAGGAGATCTAATTATGGAGATGGAGAGCTCGTGTATGACTGCCATGGTTTTTCTCTACATTTCTTTTGCTGTTTCCTTAACGAGTTGCACATTCCCTTCTGCAAATCACACAAAATTCCACACCAGTTAGCAGTCAGCCAACAAATGTGTACTGAGCACCTAGTATGTGTCAGGTACTCTTTCAGCCATTAAACAGCAAACAAAAATCTCTGCTCTGATACAGCTAACATTCTAATTGAGGGACAAGACAGACAGACAAATACATGAATAACATATTCAGGTCAGACAGTGGTAAATGCTATGGAAAGAGAGAGCAGGAGCAGGAGGACTCTGATAGTTGGAATAAGAAGGAGCCTTCTAGTTATACACACAAACAGGAAAAAACTAGAGACTGAAAGACAAAGTTAGGGTCTTGGTTTCTTTTACTATTCTTAATTATGGCAAACTACATAAAATGTATCATCTTTACCAGTTTTGAGTGCAATAGTGCAATAGTCTTATGTCTAAAAAATAGACACATAAAAACATTTTTATGTGTCTATTTTTAGTGTTTAGTACATTCACATTGTTTATACTCAATCTGCAGAATTCTTCATCTTGCGAAACTGAAACTCTGTACCCCAGAGCTCCATCCCCTCAGGGCAACCATTCTACTTTCTATCTATGAATTTGATCATTGTAGATACCTCAGGTAAATGGTATCAGAGCGTTCATCCAAATCTGGGCTTTCTGTGGTGACTACAGGCACACTTCATTGCGCTTCCCAGACACTGCTTTTTTTTTTTTTTAACAAATTGAAGTTTTTCAACAACCCTGTATTAAGCAAGTCTGTCGGCACCATTTTTCCAACAGCTATGTGTTCACTTCACATCTCTGTTCATATTTAAGATGTGTGCTTAATTTTTAGACATAATACTATTGCACACTTAAGAGATTACAGTACTAAAAAAAGAGAGAGAGATTACAGTATAGTATAGTATATTACAGTATAGTATAGTGTGCACTGGGATACAAAAAATTCATGTGACTCACTCTATTGCAATGGTCTGGAATCCTACCAGCAATATCTCCGAGGTGTGCTTGTAACAGAAACTGCGACAAAGTTCCTAGTGAGCTTAGCCCTCAGGGTGTCAGAATAAAAAGCGATGAGGCTCTGAGTGTCAAGAGGGAAGATGGTGGGTTGCCAAGAGCGCACAGAATTCTAACACCCATCTTTACTCTAGTCTAAGTGGCATTACCTCAAGCACTTACCTCTGCTGGGCTCCCTCCATTCTGGCAGCTGGAGGTGTGAAAAGCCAGGGGAGGATCTTCTTACAGAAGCACGTGGGACTCCTGGACCCCCTCTAGATTGCCCAGAAATGTAGCTATGAAGAGAGAGGCAAACACCCCCATGGTGCCCAGCACATGAACTATATCCTCCAGAATATCAGCACTTAGCTTGGTGTACTGGGAAATAATACTGCACTAGAAAACAGATAAGCTCAAGTCCTGCCTCCTACACTAGCTTCCTTATGTCCTTTACTTCTCAAAGCACAATTTTTTTTATCTTTAAATGGGCTATTTGTTCGTTGTCCATCTTCTCCACTAAAATGTAAGCTCCTAGACATCTGGACTACTGTTTTGTTGATTGCTCTATCTCCAGAAAGTACAATAGTACCTGGGGCATAATATGGCACTCAGTAAATATTCATTGAATGAATGAATGAATGAATGAATGAGCCCCTGTTATTTGCTTAGCAATGTGCTAAGTGCTGTGGTGAAGTACCTAGCACATATGACATATTTTGCTATTCGAAACTAAATGGTACCAACCACAGACCTTTCTTACGACCACCCTGGGTTGCTATCATAGATAAACAATTGGCACTTTAGATAAGGGACAGAGAAATGTAGCTATTTCACAAAGATGACATCACAGAAAGATGAGATTTAAGCTGGGCTCTAAAGGGCAGATAGTTTTGTAAATAAGAAAGGAGAGGTTGTAAGTATCATAAATCATGACATGAACATATAACAAATCATCCCCGAAGTCTTCTTTTATCTCTCAACCTCTCCTGGGAGTTCTATCGGGGGCACGTCAGATTTGAGGTGCCTGAAGGAGATATCTAGATTGTATTTGGAAATTTACATTTGCAGCTTGGCTTAGAGATCTAGAATTGGAAGTCATTCTCTGAAAGGTAGTAACTGCCATGGATGACATCCAAGAAATCACAGCTCTTCTTAAAACTTATCCTAATACCATACAGCTTTGGATCTTTCAAACAGAAGACAGTATTCATGTTGAGAAACAATCCCCATATTCAATCTCAAATCCAGCTATGGAGCCATACCGCAAGAGCAAGCTGATCCAGGCTGAGCTCAGGTTCAAGCATGCCCAGCCTTACTCAAACAGACACCAGAGACCAGTTTGGACCAAGGTGCTGAGAAGCAAGTTGACCTTACATCTGAGTCTGTTCAGTACAGTTCTAGTTTATACCTATTGTCCTAATATAATTTTATAATTCATTTCACATCCAAAAGCATCCCAGTTTTAATGATAAATCATATGGTCAATCTACCAATCCTCAAATAACCAATTTCCTAAATAGACCCATTTCCCAAATGATCAGCTTACCTAATTATGTCTTTTACTTTCTAGCTTAATTGACTGCTTTTTGTTTTGCTTTCAGAATACCATTTTAAGAAATGTTTAGGCTGTGTCTTCCCCAGCATTCTAATGCTTGAACTGGAAACTTATGCCTCTTGGTCTTCCTCTCTATCTGTGCCTCAGTTTCCCATTCTCTGACTCTAATTCTGTCCTTCAGTCTCCAGCAGCAACAGCAGGGAGTTGGGGCTGAGAGAAATTGAACATATTCTTCTTATGAATATATTCTCCTCATGAATATATTGTCTTATGAATATATTAATGAAAACATTCTTTTTATGAATATATTCTTTATAAATAGTGCCTTCTTGCATATATTCTTAAATGTGAAGAGTTCATATGAAAATGTATTATCCTTATGAATAATAATAACTTAATGAAAAATATATTTATAACAATTTTTCCTATTCAAGAATATATCTTTGTGGATATATTTTTATTATGGTCCTCAGGGTCTCCCTCCCCTGACTTTCAATTTCCCCTGCTTTCTGTCCCTCAAGCACTCAAGGCTGACTAGAGAAAAAACTATTGAAAAGTCCTTAAAATACTGTTAGAAAATCAGATGAAATAGTATAGATGACATAAATAAACTTGGTGAATCAGACTTTCAATGGATTTAGCGGTGTAATGAATTAGCTTTCAGCAAAGCAGCTTTCAATTAATTGACTTTCAGCAGCAGCCTGACCAATAGTCCCTATCAGCCCACCTAAAATAGGCCAACCATTACCCTATTGATAACCTCAGTCACACCAAAATTCTCTCCAAACATAACTGCACTTTCATACTATTTCCATTATCCACATTTAAATTATCCTTATGAGAGTCAGGGACCTGTTTCTATTCACCAGTAATTCCACAGCTCTATCACAATCTCTGTCACCTAAGTTGATGCTCAAAAAATATTTGTTGTCAAAATCAACAGCAAAGGAGTGTGTGAATGAATGTACAAGGGAGCCCAAGAGACTCTCTGGAGTGATGATAAAGACCAGAAAAATCACCTCATTTCTGACCACCATTATTCGGACTACCATCCTTTTCCACTGAAAAACTAAGCAAAACTAGGACCTCCCCGGTGGCGCAGCGGCTGAGCGCTGGGTTGCGAAGCTGCCCGCAGCCTCTGCAGCATCGGTTCAATCCCCGGCTGCCCCCCTGCCACCAGCGGAGGGTCTCCCATGGCGCGCAGACCTCTCCTGCCACCTGCTGCGCCCCTCAGCAGTATACTTCGGTCCTTCTGCCTGCTCTGCTTCCCGCTCTGGCTCTGGTGAATTCCCTCACCCTCCCGCGCTTCTGACTGTACCCAGTACTTGTATAAATAAATAAATCTTTAAAAAAAAAAAAAAAAAACTAAGCAAAACTTTTTTAAACTGAGTATAAAAAGAAGGGATGGGGTAGCTTTTCAAGAGATAAGCAAACTTTAACCATTTTTTTAATGGGACAGAACCTGTTTGACCATCTGAAATTAGAATGCACTGAAGAAAATCTCGACCCAGATGTTACAACATTGCCCATTTAGTACAGAGCTACTTGAGAGCAGATGGCGATGAGTCAGGACTTAACAAAGACCTTAATGGCTCTCCTGCCAGCCCTTGGGCCATCATTTGCATAGGAAGCAGATTTGACTTGGCTGCTGATGGTGATGTCCTCTCACCCACTTGGACATGACCTCATTTTCATGTCTCCATTTTCTATCTCTGCCATATGCAGTCATAACCTTCTGGGAAATACTATGCCACAAAATAAAAAATAAAAGCAAGTCCTGATCATTTGAAGCACTGTTTTAATTATGATTTTACTGACATACCTCATTAGAAATTCATTTTTACTCAGCCTAACACATTTCACTTAGTATGACGTGGTTTCCTTTCCACGCATTTAATATCTCAAGTCACAAGTTTATAGCATTGCATCAGGACAATTACATAAAGCGAGGCCATTTTTAAAGATGCATATAATTTTATTATGGATTAGTGCTACTTATGAATTAGGTTTATAGGGCTCACCTCGCCTCTAGATACTTTTAATCTTCAGGAGCAGAGAAAGACATTTCACAAATGAAAGCATAACCTCTTTACTATTTGGAAACAAACCACCCAATCCTAACAAACACAAAGGCATTTATTTGCACTTAGATGATTTACCTGGGGAGGGTGTGGGGGACAGGAACAAGGTCTTCATTTATCTGCTATTTCAATTCATTGAGGTCCAGCCAACAATGTATTTCCTCAGGAAAGGACAGGAGACAGAGGGGCTGGAGAGTGAAATTATTAATTGTACTTTTTGAGACCAGGAGTTCAAGGGACACAGCAGGAATCTTGGAAAGTCTCACTTTCTTCCTCTTCCTCTTCTCTCAAGTTCCTTGGAATTACCCAGCCCAAACTTCTAATAATCAAGTCCCATCATTTTCCAGCTTTCAAATACCCATAATTTCACACCAAAGCTTAGCCTTAAATCTTAACCGTTCTCCTTCAAGTCTATCAATCTACCAATCCTCCTTTAATTCTAGTAATTAGTTAACTGATTTACCATGGGAGGGGGAGTAAATTATATCATGAACATCTTAACAAAAGTTCCCTGTTGCATAGCATCGCTGTTAGGGGGATGCTGATGACTGTACATCGGCACTGTTTTGGGAAGTCTAATTCAAAACCATCAGAGAATGGTGAATTTCATGTTTTTAATTAAATAGAAAGTATAAAATAGAAAATACTAAAGTATTTATACATAGTCAATTTCTGTTTCAGATATTTTGTGTGTGAAGTATATGTGTATAGGCTCAAATGTAAAATTATTATTAGCAAACACTCACACAGTGCTTAATATGTGCCAGGGACTGTGCCAGGGGCATTTGCATGTACCAGCTCATTTAATCTTCAAATTCATCTGATGAGATGGCGCTATATCTACCCTCGTTTTACAATTAAATGAACTAGGGCATGAAGAATTTAAGTAATGTACCCATGATAGTCCAGCTAGCAAGCAGCAGGAACGGGACTCAGATGTAGTTAACCTGACACTAGAGTCTATATTCTTAACACTATAGCAGCCTGCCTCTCCTAAATACATTTCTTGCTGTGGGTATTTTTTTTTTTAAAAAAGAAAGTTCGGGGCCTCCCTGGTGGCGCAGGCAATTGAGCGCAGCACTGTGAAGCTGTCCGCAGCCTCTGCGGTGCCGATTCGATCCCCACCGGCCTTGGAGCAACCCAAATGGCGAGCAGACCTCTTCTGTCTTGCCTGCTGCTCCCCTCAGCAGTGTATTTTGTCAATCTGCCTATTCTGTTCCCCGCTCTCTCGCTGGTGAATCCTCTCACCCTCCCGTGCATCTGGCCTGTACCCCGGCTCTTGCAGAAATAAAATAAATCATTTTAAAAAAAAATAAAAAGGGCCTCCCCTGGTGGCGCAGCGGTTGAACGCTGGACTGTGAAGCTGCCCGCAGCCTCTGCAGCGCTGGTTCGATCCCCGGCCACCGGCGAGGGTCCCACATGGCATGACAGACCTCTCCTGCCACGCCCGCTGCTCCCCTCAGCAGTGTATTTCGTCAGTCTGCCTGTTCTGTTCCCTGCTCTGGCTCTGGTGAATCCTCTCACCCTCCCACGCTTCTGACTATACCCAGTGCTTGTAGAAATAAATAAATAAATCTTAAAAAAAAAAGTTTGATGAACATAAATTTAAGGGGATTATGTATAATATATGTCCTAGACGAGTTCCAATGTCAAACAGTCTACACAATGTCCTTTTATCATTAGGCTATATGAGCTAATGTTTGGCTCAGGAAATTTGGTCCCTATGTCAGATATTCCAGCATCACTAATGACACCATCCTTGCCACTAGTCATAAACAGAGATCTTCTGCCTCGATTACCCAGTCCCTGGGATAGTCCCAGATCTTATGTTCAATGGTTCCAAACCCATGATGCCAGAGTTAATAAAAAAAAAAAGCACAGCTGTTTATAGTCTGGCAAAACTATCACACCATAAGCAGTGAAACCTAAAGCTTTTGAAAGACTACTTAGTGGGGGCTGTGGGAGGGGGGCAGGGAATAGGGTGGGATCTACACAACCCAGTCAGAGTATAACCACTGCAAAGTCTACTTTCCTGATCCTAGTTTGCAAAGAACTGGGTTAACTGTAATAAGACTATATAATTTAAGGAAAACATTCTTAAACTTCCAGTCACAAAATCTAACCTCTACTCTGCCAAAGGTATACAACAGGCAAATCACTATTCACAGCAGCTTACATTAATTAGGATTTTATACTTTCCAGAGCATGCTCACATTCATGATTCCTTTAGGCCCTAACAACCACTCTCTGAAGAAGAAGGGATGGCTAACTGAAGAGGGGCATTTCCATCCTCCCTCTGCCATCCTCTCTTTCTTCCCTTCCAGTCATAGAGTTCCTTCCCACACAAGAAGAGAATAGTTAATCTAAGAAGTCAGAGCACATCACTGGGGGTGTCTAAATACCAGGGGTGAAAGGTTAACACCACTTGAGGTTCATTCCTTTACCTGCTAGAGCCTTGTGGTGACAGTTAAGCCATCCTCTTGTCCCTTACTCTGTTAGCACTCCATCCAGATGCCCTTGGATCCCCTGTACCAGTTCTGTGCATCAACCTCAGCTTCTGTGTCACCTGGATGCACTAAGAGTCATGGGCACACACCCCACCCCACCCCAGTGTGGCTCCTAACCAGTGAGAGGACAGGAGAGTCAAAGCCCAAATTCCTCACCCCAAATGAAGTACTGAGGTGTGGGTTATACTCAGAGCTTCCCATAATATCTAGAGTCAGAGTTCATCTGAATGGCACCCCTGCTTGGCTTCACCTGTTCTCTTCCCCCAATCCCTTGCCAGTTCCCCTGAGGACCTTCTGAAAAAATCTTTTAAACCTATATCCTAGCTTCAGGGTCTGCTTTTGAGAATCTGACCTAAACTTTCTCCTTGTGGCTGGTCTAGGCCTGTCTGAGGAAATGGGCTTGACCAGGTTTCTGTTTGGCCGCCTCTTCTTTTTTTTTTTTTTTATGGCAAGTGAGTTTTTTTTTTTTTTTTTTAAAGATTTATTTATTTATTTATACAAGCACTGGGTACAGTCAGAAGCGCAGGAGGGTAAGAGAATTCACCAGAGCCAGAGCGGGAAGCAGAGCAGGCAGAAGGACCGAAGTACACTGCTGAGGGGAGCAGCGGGCATGGCAGGAGAGGTCTGCGTGCCATGTGGGACCCTCACCGGTGGCCGGGATGGAACAGGCACTGCAGAGGCTGCCAGCAGCTTCGCAGCCCAGCGCTCAACCACTGTGCCACCAGGAGAGGCCATGGCCTCCTCTTCTTACAACTGCATTTGGGCAGGGCCTGCTCCATGAGGTGGCAGCCATCTTAGATTCAAGGAGGGAGTTGGAGTTTCATGTGTATCTTCAGATATTAGCTGGATTCTCAAAATCAGCTTCTCTAAGACCCTTGCTTTGGAGGTCAGTGTTCACTGGTGAGCTTTTACTACACCATAGCCTTGATACCCATCACTGTTCTGCAACAGTCCCCTCAGCTAGGAAACTAAGCAGAAAAGTGGTGATTTAGGTTTCCTGGTTCCGTGGCCCTAAAATAATCACGATCGCAATAGAAATCTAACCTCTAGCTCCCTCCAACTATGTTAGCAGCCTTTTTGATAGTAAATGCTGTCCTATATAACTTAAGAGCAGAAAGAAATTTATGAGGTCTATCCCTTAGTGTACAGATGAGGAATTGAAGTTAAGACCTGGAGATCTCCCAAAGTCACATCACGACAGTAAAATTTTGCATTGAATCTGAGTCTTGGGTCTCAGAGCAGGAGGTGGATGCTGTCCCCCAAACCAGGCTGTGTCAGTCAGAAGTGAGCAGAGGTGGTTGACTCCTGTCCTCTCCCCTGAAAACATCTCTTGGTATCTGTAAACACATTCAGGACAATTGATTGGTTTGAACTGCTTGATCTTCCCCCCATTAAGATAAACAGCATGAAATGTAGATTAACTCTCATCATCTGCCTTGAAGAAAATGCAATCAATATCGTTAGTTCGTTAAGGAGATTCTTCGTCACCTCACACTACAAACACCCAGACCTAGCACAGTGTCTGCCATAAAGTAAGTGCTCTGATCATTTTTTTAGGAAATTCATTACATAAAAATTCATACTGAGTACTCAACAATGATTGCAATGATTCTCAATTTTATTCATGGGGAGATCTATAATAGAATTACAACAAAACATCATGAAATATTGATATATTTAATTCCAACACACAAATTAAAAGTAATTTTACTAGCAGTAAAATATGGTTATAAAATATGTATTTATACTTCAGCTTTTAAGAAATAATAACATACTTAGATTTTAAGGAATCACTTTTCAGATGTTTTCTTATTTTATTCTCCAACTAGCCATCACTACCAATGAAACAATATAATCAAATGTAAGAACTTTCAAAATTGAGAAAAGATTCCATTTATCAATTCACTTTTCCTTTTAAGTAGAAAAAACAATCACTATTATTTGACTGTGTCTGTGAATCAATGGCCCAGCTTATATAACATCACTGTTCTCTGGAAACATTAGTTTGTAAGCACCACACAATGCAGTCTTCACACATATAACCTCTAAGATAGGTTAGTGTTAAGCAATTTTAAGACAACTGTATCTGGCCCTATACACTAAACTGCTATTGATTTCAAAGCAGGGGAACCGTCTACAATCATAAACACACGGAAATGTTGAAGTAAGTGTTTAGGTATAAATCCACAAAACAATAAAGACCTAAGAATTGCTTATAAATTGGGAAACTAGAGATTAGACTTAGTTCTTTGCAGACAATAAACTTGTAAAATTTCTAAAAAGGGACCTATACAGTATATTCTTGAATAGAGTGGCTACTCTTTAAATGTTTTCAAATTTGAAATGTAATTCTATACACAATGTGTCAGAAGGGAAACAAAACAATGTGTCAGCACAAGCAAAGGGCTGAGAGGGAAGGAATCATGGCATCTAGACCTTTGTTGGGCAGGTGCCCAAGGGCAGACTGTAGCACATGGGAAAAGTAGACACAATCCAAGCTGTGATGTACTGGGAAGGGAACGTCCTGAGGGATTGCAGCACAGGGCCAAGGACAACCGAGTTCAATAGATAGTAATTTTCACCTTCAAGTTAAGCACCATGCTATA